ACGTATTTATTTGTCAAAATGCCATGTTTAATCAACTTGATTGTTTACGTTACAGAAACAAGAGAAATTCCTACAATCAACAATTTCGTCATGAATACTGTCGGAGTTACCAAATCTTCAACTGGAGAAGAACTTGCTGTCCATATTGTTGCTTTCTATCCAAGAGACCCTGATGTAAAAACAAATCTACAAAGGATAGAACCAAACCAATTTGTTCGCGTGGGAGGTAAATTTATGATTGATGATACAGATGTGGACAATTCGAGTGTGAAGTTCTTGAAGGTATGTATCATTTTAGAAATTTGAAGGAAAAAAAAATTTTTTATAATCATTGTTGTTACAATGACTGCAACAGCAATGAACCAACACGGAAGGGATGAGTTTAACATCACAATTAAAACAAATAAATGGTAGTGAATATTTTGACTCGTCAAGAGTTTCAATGGATTTGAAATATACCACTCGACCTCCAACAATTACTTGCTCAAGACTTCCGAATGTGTACAAAAAGGAAGCTCATTTATATTGCCAGGTAACCTGAAAAAGGTCAACAAGATCCAGGTCACCTACCTTTCATTCATCAATCTCTTTAGCAACAGCAATAGCAAAACCATAACCACCTCAAACGCTGTAGAAGCCACACGAGAGATTATGTTTTCAATTGAAAATCTCAAAAGAAAAAAAAGGGAAAAGCCCCTGCTGCATCCATAAGAACAAAGGTAAAAATACCAAAATTAGCCAATTTGGCAGTTCAGAACATTGGTGATGGCAAATGCAGCACACCGATGGCAGACAACAATGAAGAAGATAATGAATGATAACGAAAAACGGGTTTTCTTTTTTATTGTTTAATTACTTTTCTTAAATGAAAAATTAAAATAGTCCAATTTTTTTTTTAAAAAACCCTAATTTGAAAATAAATGACAATGCTTTGTAAATTCTCTTCATTGGTTGTTGTTGGTATTAAATAAAACGTTATTTTTAGGTTGTTGTTATTTATAAATAAGTAATAAATTTTAAACATTATCATTTTTATTATAAATAATAATTTATAAATATATGTGTTGAAAATCATATCAAAAGCAATTTGATGTAATACTTGATGAGTTTTCAAGAAATAAGA